CTCTAGCTTTCTAGTCTTCTCCTCTGGGACTTGATTAGAGGCCTTCATGATTCTGGGGAGTAATGGATAGCTAAGCCACACTAGTGCTTCCTTGTTCCCTCAGCTTGTTGATGGAAAATTGTGAGGCTCTGTAATTATATGCAACAATCAGTTCTACTAAATCACTTTTAATATATCTATTTATGCAGACATATATTACTTAACATTGTGGTATGTTCTAAGAAATGTCATCAGGCAACTTTGCTAATGTACAAGCATCATAGGATGTACTTACACAAATCTAGATGGTGTAGTCCACTGCACACCTAGATTATGGGGGGGGTAGCCTATCACACCTAGGTCCATGAGGACCAAAGCAACACAAGATTAAATCAAGCAGCACAGAAAACAAAACCATCAAGCTATGAAGTAATCTTGAGCTATGTGAAACTGCTGCCAGTGTGGCATGGCACACTAGCTGATGGGACTTAGCAAGATTCTTGCTAAGCTTGAGAACTGAGATAAATTCTGAGGCCAAAAACAAGGGTCTAGTTAAGAAGAGGTAAAAGGAGCCTTTGTTTAGTCAAGGAGAGAAAAATCAGTCTGTAAGAGAGGCTGGAAAAGAAAGAGACCAAGACTGAGAGAAACATGATGTCCAGAGAGCAGAGGTTCCATGGGCGTCTCAGTGCTGACGTCTCAGTTTTGAGCTGGTCTCCATTTGACATCTGAGGACACATAGTGAGCAGAGGACCTGACGCCTGCCATTCACATGCCCGGGCCAAGCTACACTCCTCTTGGCTCTGTGGCCATGCCTCTGGATTGCTATACTGTGTCCCTTACTGTTCCTCATGCTTCTGATCAAACCACTAGGAAACACTGCCCCTGAACTTGCTCCTGTTTTTAAAACAAAGACTGGAGTATCTGCTGGTGGTCTGCAACTAAATTCTAGAAGCTTCACTCTTTAGTCCTGAAGGGCCAAGATGATGACTCTATGTTGCTACCGTGGTGATCTGCACCACTTTTTAAAGTTTTCCTTTATGTAGGCACAACCCTAATATCAGAAGGACCCATGACATGAGTCCAAATGGAGACCCACAGGCCTTTGACCCAAACTTATTCATCACAGTCCAACGCTCTCACACTCTAAGGAGGACCCACAGTCAGCACAGTCTCCAGAACCATCACATTTCAACCCTATGAGACAAAGAATAACAGTGCTCTCCACCCTCAGGAATTGGGGGATAAACACAGGAGGTGGGCAGGAAACACAAGGTGTGGGTGTTGAGACATGGCCTTTTCCCGCATGACTCTACGGCTACTTTTCCATCTAGTTTGAAGGTGTCTGATTTCCTCTAACTTTCACTAAACTCTCCTGGGTTGACCCATTTGAGTAGCCTGTGTTGCATAGTGGAACCCTGGGTGAGACAACTGTGCTTTTATCACATTTGACTCAGGAGCTCCAGGCAGCAAGCAGTTTCTTTCTAAAACACTTTTGGGTCCCTGACTTCCTCTTATTCTCCCACACCCATGCCTGAGGACAGAAAGGGACCGGGAGTCAGATCTCCAGCCGCCCTCACAGTGCCCTTTTATCCTGTCAGAACCTCACAAGAGGCCACACTCATGATAAACACAGGCGGTGCTGTTGGAGCTAACATTACCAGGCTCTGGCCAGAGTCAAGGACATCCTCAGGGATGGAAAAAGATTCTTCATGAGGAAGCAAATGCTGAGGACACAATCTAGAGAAAATGAATAAACAAAGGAAGGCTGCTCTATGCTTTATTTAATTAATGCCTAGAGAAAAGCATATGGTCACTTCCTTCTCCTGTCATGTATGTGTGTGTGTGTGTGTGTGTGTGTGTGCACGCGCGTGTGCTCGCAAGTGTGCACCATGCATATCATGGCATGTGTTAGAGTTAGAGGACAAGCTCTGGTGTTGGGCCTTGCCATCCATGATTTTTAAGACAGGTTATCCCGTTTGTTCACCAGGATGACTGGTTAGCCAGTTTCCAGGGATTCTCCTGTTTCATTTTTTTACTGCCCACCTCACTCTAGAAGCCTTGTGATTGCAGATACATGCTACCACATCTACTTTTGACATGGAAATTCAAACTATGTCAAGTGTTTTTCTCACTGAGCCATCTCTCCAGCCTGGTGGGGATCCTTCTCAATTGAAACAGGAAGATAATCAAACAGACTCTTTTGGTATTTGCTACTGTTCTAGTAAAAACTAAATTGAGAACAAATTGTAACAGCAGTCATAGAAAGTCACATATTAGACTGGGCAAGATGACACACTACTTTATTCCCAGCAATGGAGAGGTAGAGGTAGGGGAGTTTCTGTAAGTTTGAGGCCAGCCTGGTCTATATAGCAAGTTTTAGCCAGCCAAGGCTACATAGTGAGATGCTGTTCATGAAAAAAAAAACTGGTGTGGGGGGAAGCCTACATATTGTTGCCATCTTTTCAGCTCCAGCTTGATATATTTGATATATCTCAGTCTTTCTGGTGATTAACTGATGGTCTATATATATATATATATATATATATTTCACATATAGAATCATCCCAGAGAAACCACTCATACTAAAATCTGATCCTTTATTCCTCAGAGCATTTCCATGTCAGCATGGCTTCTTGAAAATACTAGCAATACTTAATAGAAGCCATGTTGGTTTTGTGCTGGGATTCCATGTTGGTATGAATTAAACAATGGCTGTTTGTAATGTAGATGAACAAGAATAAGAATACAGAGTCATTGCTCTTCTGGGGAGGGAGTGCCATCATTTTCGGATTGACAGTGGAGGGATTCTGAAAGCACAGGGTTTCAGACTTCCCACATGATTTCTTTTCAATTGATTGTCTCCTGGTACCATGCACACATTTTAAATTGCCAGTTGTTCTCTGAGGTTGACAATAAATCCAAGCAAGAACATATTTAATATCCACACAGAATTTTGATGAGTGACTTTTGGTTCTCTGTTGTTCCTATGAAGCCAAACAAACAGTATTCAGATACTGCTGTTTCTTTTTGTGTTATAAAAACCAAAGCAAAAATCAAATAACAGAGACAAGACCATAAATACAGAAACTGATGGAGTTTCAGAAGGATATGATTCTGTTTCAGAGATAAGGAAACTGAAGCCAAGAGACGTGAAATGAGTTCTGGAAGGTCAAAGAGATCAGAGTGGCCTCAAAGGGGGTTTCTGGATGCATTTGAATACATGACCAATCATTAGATAGAGCAGGCTTTGTTATTCATGTCATCTGACCAACAAATATAGCAATGTTGGATAATTAAAGGGGGAAAATATACCAGCTAGCACAGAAAATAGAGCAGCACCCAAAGAGGAAGGCCTGGTAGCACCTTTGCGATGGATTGATGGTTAATCTCAGTTGTCCACTTGATGAACTCAAGAATCACCCAGGAGATAGGTTTTCTTGCCATACTTGATGGGGATTACCTTAATTAGGATAATTGAGGTGGAATGGAAAGAGCCACCCACTGTGGGCAGCACCATTCTCTGGGCTGGGAACCAGACTACAGTGGATGCAATGTGACCAGCTGCCTCAAGCTCCTGCTGCTATAACCTCCCAGCTATGATAGACTGGACCCTTGAATTGTGAGCCAAGGTAAGCCCTTTCTCCATTAAGTCATTTCTGTCAGGATTGTTTTTATCTACTTTTATTTTAGCAACAGGAAAAGTAGCTAATCCTGCTCCCCACAACCGAGCAGCAAAAACGATGTAAAGAGCAGATTGGGTAGATGCCTACAAAATGTCCCGCATCCTCTTTCACATCAGTCATGACTTGATCTCAAAAGCTAGGATGGTAGAAAATACTGAGAGGAGCAATAAATGATGGCTTTCAGCTTTTGTAGCATTTTAGAGTCACAATGAAGCTTATGAAAAATCTATATACCCAGATCACAGCACAGACCCATTTTATCTACATGGTTTCAATGTGGTCCAATTTGTATACTAAACTGAGAGTCATTGCTCTGGACAACCCTAGTATAGGACAAGGAAAGGAAAGGTAGATGCAGGTTATGCTAGATTCTTGGGGTTGACACTCTACTTTCCTTTCCAACATTCCTTGGAGCGACTGTTAGAAACACACTGTCTCTTGTCTTTTTATTAGCTAAATGATGACACATTGGATACTGCTGAGTTTGGACCATCCTGCCATTGAGTGTTTTTATTTTTCTACCTAATCACCCCTAAATTTAGTGATTTTTTTCAGAGTTTCATGAATTTAAAATTCAAAAGTGTCAGGAGGCCTGAGTGCCCATTTGGATATTCACATGGGGGAATAATTGCTTCTGGGTTCATGCAGGTGGTTGGCAAATTCATTTTCTTCAAGTTATTTGCCTGAAGGTTCTGGCTTTCTGCTGTCCATTGACTATAATCCACTCCCAATATCTAGTCACCCACAGTTATTACCATATATCCCATAATATGTGAATTGCAGTCTACAGGAAGGAAGTTACATAATGGTAGGGCTAGTATCCTGCAACCTTTGCCATATTCTATTAGCTAGAGGCAAGTTGCAAGGTTCACCAGTATGCAAGACAAAGAATTTTTTGTTTTTTTGTTTTGTTTTTCGAGACAGGGTTTCTCTGTGGCTTTGGAGGCTGTCCTGGAACTCGCTTGGTAGTCCAGGCTGGTCTCGAACTTACAGAGATCCACCTGCCTCTGCCTCCTGAGTGCTGGGATTAAAGGCGTGCGCCACCAACACCCGGCAAGACAAGGAATTTTATTCCAGTCTATATTAGTGTGTATCTGACTATCCAAGACCCAAGACACACTAAGGAAGGTGCAACAGGGGTCACTCATTGATGGAGGGATGCTCTGTCCCTTCTCTTCCGGTGCATTACACCACAGTCTGTCTTACTCATCTTCTCTAGCAAGCCCTTCAAACTGAGCAATCACTTAAATAGAATAGCACAACTGAATCTGGTACTTTTAAACTTTATTTTTTGTGCAAATGTTGAAAACTCTGTGAATTTGGAGCTAGTCATCTTGACTAAGTTAAGACAATCCCAGTTTTATTGGCAACATTTGAATCAGCATGATCAGGAGCAAGCTGAAGATGTAACTTCTGTCCATTAGGTTTAAGTAGGGCACTGACTTTGGCCGCATTCATGTCAAAGAGTTTCTTTCCAGTCTGTCTGATTTGGTGCTTGTTGGCCTTGGCATCCATCATGAATGTACAGGTGTTGCCTTCTAATTCCCTCATGGCTAACTCAGTAGTAATCGATGATGGCGTAGTAGACCAGCTTGCTTCTTCTGGGAGTACTCTTGTAGGATATTTGTGTTGCCTGGGAGCTGCAGGGGAATGTGGGCTGTGACTGTGGATGCCATTCAGCATGGCCTTCTCTCAGTTTTCAAGACTTTCACTTGGACTTCAGCTTTGAGAAAGGCAGATGCTTCTTCACGTCTGGTGCTATCTTGGTGAAAAGACTGGCTTTGTCTGAAGAGGTCCTTTTAAATCTGCCCCAGAAGTGCACTAGCTTGATGATGTCTGCTTCTGCCTGCTCCCAAACTCCTAAAACACCCCCATCTGATGCACAAGCAGTAAGAGAGAGGGCAGGTGTTCACAGGCCTAATTTGATTTTGAATGGCAATAAGAGGAACCAGACGATGATTATTGAGGTGGAAATAAGGGCTTGATGGCATGGTGAAAAGCACACAATCCCAACACGGTAATGCTGGACAGTCCTTTTTTGTTGTTGTTGTTTGCTTACTTGCTTTGTTTTCTTTTTATTGATTCTTTAGGAACTTCACATCATGAACTACAATATCACTCATTTTCCAGTCCTTTCATATCCACCCCTTGCCCCCAAAAGAAAATTTTAATAATATTAATTAAAAACAAACAAGCAAACAAACAGCCACTTCACCCCTCCGTCTTTTCTGCCTCCCCAACATCTCCTATTCATCTTAGTGGCATAGGGAGCTGTGGTGTGTCACACAGTACACACTTTTGTTCACTCAGCTTTGCTTGCAAATGTTCATTACAATGAGTCATTGGTCTGATTCAAGGCCTCTGGCTTCTGGTATACCATTAATATTAGACCCACAACAAAACTCCTCTCCGATATCCTGTTGTTGCCCCAACCATGGAGGTCCTGCCACTATTTCCGCAGGAGTAGTCCTTTCACACACTCCATCAGGTCATAAATGGGGTAGATGTTGGGGTGGGCCAACTCAAAGTCCTGGATGTAGGCCTGGATGGTAGTTGATTTGGTCAGTCTGGGCATCTGGAACCACCACCCTCACATGAGGGGCCAAGTCAGCTCTTCTATTCCTTTGGTGAGGGGCTGCTAGGCCAGCTCTTCTATTGCAGTGGCCAGCAATGGGCAGGATCAGCTCTCCCAGGACCAGCAAAGGGCAGTGCCAGCTCAACATGGTCCTCAGATTTCAACAAAAATGGTTCCTAAGGTAACATGGTCCCTGTGGTAACATGGGCCACAGAGATCAACACAGACCCCAGCTGCAACAGGACCACAGACCAAGACATGGTTCTCGGCAGCAACCCAGGCCTGTACATCACCATGGCCCCTGGTAGTAGCACAGGCCACCCTGATCAGCCTGGCTGTAACATGAGTTGTAATAGGCCTTAATAATAAAAGCCTGGAGTCAGAAATAAGGGAAAATTCTGAAAGATCAGAGAAATGAAGGAGAAAGCCACAGTCACACCTCACCTCACCAAATTCCCAGCAGAAAAGAGAGCAAGTTCCTGTTTCCTCTTGCCTATATTCCTCTCTCAGCCCAGCCATCTCACTTCCTGTCTCCACCTCCCTAGTCCTGGGATTAAAGGCGTGTACCATGATTGCCTGGCCTCTATGGTTAGCTAGTGGCGAGCTCCACCCTCTGATCTTCAGACACACTTTATTTGTACAAACAAGATATCACCACACCTGGCCTTGTCGGCAGCATGGCTCACAAACACCAACATGGACTCAGGTGCAGACCTGAATATCCATCCACTCAGTCTTCAGTGGAAACTGAAGCCACGAATGTCAACATAAACCTTGGCTGCTGTAGGGCCACAAATGTCGGATAGTCTTACAAGGCAAATACTGTTCTCCCCATGTGATGGATGACATAACTTGAGGCAGACAGACAATAACTTGCTTCAGGTCACACAGATTGGAATCAAATCAGGAAGCTGTGCTCTGAAGTCCTGTTCTGTCCTCACACACCATTATCCAACCTTCTAATAGTTTCCAAAGGAGTTTGAAAACGTCCCATTGGGGCACTGGCCTGTCCCCAGATTTGCTTAGACAACAGAAAAGAGATACTCAAGGAAGCACTTTACCTGGAGGGTCACTGCATTCCACGTGAGAGTGACACTTGAGGAAACTGAGTCATAGCACAGCAGCTCCTCTAGGCCCCTTATGAGGTAAAAAGAGAGCCTCATGCAGCACGGGCTCAAAGTAGGTAGGTTTGTATGTGAGACATCTTTGTTTCAGCTCTGAGATAACTTCCCACAGATATAGCAGCAACTGTGACTCAAGGAAAACTCCTGTCTGCTATACCCCACTGCTATAATGGGAGTACAACACTTACCCGCCTGCCAGGGAAAGACATTGGAACAAATCCCAGCTGTGGTTGCCAAGGTACCACCATTCAGGGGAAGCCACTGCTGCTCTCCGTGAGAGAGGTGGAAAATCCTGAGTAAGCTGCTTCCTTCCCTAGACAGCAGTACATTGTAAGGGAATGAAAAATAGCTTTGGACTATTTGGCCCAAAAGGACCCATTTGCTGTCTACCTAGCTGTTTCAGGGTAGATTAAAGAGGTTTTTTTCCTGCATTTCCCAGGTAATAATTGCATAGTATTGTGTCTTTCCCCCATGGCCTCCTTTTTCACTGTTGGATATTCAAGAATTCAAGAATTTCTATAGATGCTGTACTCCTGTTATAACAGTGAAAGATTCAGGCAGGAGTTTTCCTTGAGTCACAGTTGTTGAGCTGTATGTGCAGGAAAGTTATCTTAGAAGCCAAGGCAAAGGTATCTGAGGCACATCAGAGAATTCACCTTTCTTAGGGAGAACTGAGAACATGTCTTAGTTAGGGTTTTTATTCCTGTGAAGAGACACCATGACTGCAGCAACTCTTGCAAAGGAAAACATTTAATTGTGGTGACTTGCTAACAGCTCAGAGGTTCAGTCCACTATCGTCATGGTGGAAAGCATGGCAGCATGCAGGCAGACGCGGTCCTAGAGAAGGAGCTGAGAGTTCTTACATCTTGACTCACAAGTGACAGGAAGTTATCTGAGGCATATATAAGACCTCAAAGCCCGCCTCCACAGTGACACACATCCTCCAACAAAACCACACTCCTCATAGAGCCATTTGGGGCCACAATGCCTCATCTCTTTGCTCTTTCTCATTTCAGTCCATAATAGCAAGGACAGAAGTTTCCAGGGACACCCCATTCTCCAACCTGTGGCACCTAGTTATTGTGGAGAGCTAGGAGAAGAGGTGCTTAGCAAACTTGTTTCTAGAACACAAACTTATCCCCAGGAATGTTCTGTCCAATGTGTAGCTGGCAGGCACACATGCTACAAAGGTTTTGAAAGGAAAAGAGAAGCAGCCCCCCTCAAAACTCACAGCATGGGATGGAATCAGGAGGGGGTCTTTTGGAATACTATTGACTTTCTTCGTCCTTGTAGGAAGTAAAGAAGACTAGATAGATATTGCACTTTCTGCAATACATGAACTAGCAAAAAGTCTGCCTCTGTAGATGCCAAGAGGGTTGTCAGTGGACTGAATCCCGCCAACACCGTGGTCTTGAATTTGATCTTCAGCTGTGAGAAATAAATGTCCACTGCTTGATCCACCCAGTCTATGGTATTTTCTAAGTTCCCTTCACTCAGTAGAAGGTGCAAAGCACACACTTGTTACTTGCTCTCTGTTTCTATCACACAGGTCTGATTTTAAACACTGAGAGGTTTTTAAATTAAAATCAGATTTTTTAAAATTTTACTTTTAAGCTGGGTACTCTGGCACAAACCTGTAATCTCAGCTCTTGGGAGGTGAGGCAGGAGGATCAAGAGTTTGAAACAAACCTTGGCTTTATAGTGAGTTTGAGACTAGTCTGAACTACAAGCAAAACCTTAACGTGCGCGCGTGCACACACACACACACACACAAACATTCTCTCTCTCTCTCTCCCTGTGTGTGTGTGAATGTCTCTCTCTCTCTGTCTCACTGTCCTCTCTTTCACACACACACACATACACAAAGACTTCCAGATAGTTATAGATTCATAAGTTATAGGAAATAATACAGAAATCCTCTGTACCCTGTCCTATAGTTTCCCTTGCACAAAGGTAACTTCTGGGAAACCTACAGCTCAAAATCACAAGCTGGATAGTGACATCCTTATGGTTAAGATTCAGAAGGTTTCCCAAGGCTACATGGTAGACTAGCTCCTCAAACCCATGTATTCATTTCTTGCTACATTTTGAACTCTATCTCTGTCAGGGGTAGCAGTACTTGTTCAGACATTTGGACTGTAAATATGTACTCTGTAAATGGAGTTCTTAATTGGTCTAAGTAATAAAAACCCAAAGTCAGACATAGAAGAAAATGCTGAGAGACCAGAGAGAAGGAGCAAGCCACTACCATACCTTACCTCCTTAGTGTCTCAGCAGACAAGAGAGCCAGTTTCTGTTTCTCCCTGTTTATATCCTGTTTCCACCCCTTAGCTCACTTCCTGTCTGTCTGTACAGACCTCCAGACCTCTATGGTCAGCTAGTGGCAAGTTTCATTCTCTGACCTTCAGATAGGCTTTATTTGTACAAGCAAGATATCACCACAGTTCTCATATTCTTAACCTTTTGGTGGGATTTTTTTGAAAAAAAATTTTTTTAGCCTGGCAGCGGCGGCACATTCCTTTAATCCCAGCACTCGGGAGGCAGAGGCAGGTGGATCACTGTGAGTTTTGAGGCCAGCCTAGTCTACAGAGCTAGTTCCAGGACAGTTAGGACTATTTACACAGAGAAACCTTGTCTCAAAAAAAAATAAGAAAGAAAGAAGGAAGGAAAGAAGGAAAGAAAGAAAGGGGAAAAAACCCTAAAAAAAGAAAAAAATTAATTTTGATAGCTTTATCAAAGCTTTGTCTTAATTTACATGCTTTTAGGCCCAAGCCTAAGAATCAATGCCTTATACCTTACTTTTTTCTGTGTTTTTCCCCTAAACATTCTATGGTTCTGTAATTTTATGTTTTTGTCTATGACTCATTAACTTTTCTATACAGTCAAATCTGTCAGTAGAAGTATCTCTCTGTGACTCTCTAGTAACATTTGCAGACAAATCTATCTCATCTTTCTTCATCGACTTGTGCTATTGTGGAGAGTCA